CAGCTCCTCTGCCAGCACCCAGATGTGGCCAAAATCTCTTTCACTGGCAGTGTGCCAACTGGCATGAAGGTAAAGACACCTTGAGACAAGGGTTGTATCAAATGCAATCAGTCTGTAGTTGATACCTCCTTGAGCTTTTCTGCATGGGGCTTGTGAGTGTGGCAGCATTTTTGGGGCTGGGCAAGGAGCTTGCAGCACACAGAGGGTCATGCTGGAGATCCAGTTAACCTGCTGGGCATGAGCTTGGGGGAGAAACCCCTTGGACAGCTTCACTTGCTTAGCCCCTGTTTGCAGTGAAGTCTCTGAGCTGCTCAGGTGGGTGTTGATGTTGGGAGGAGAGTACATGAAACAGCAGCACTAGAAAAATGTGGTTCTGGTTGCTATAAAGCACTAAAGCTGCATGCAACCTACTGTTTTTAAGCAAGGGGATAGTTTCTGTGAGTTTCTCACCCTCAGTTTATTATTCCAAAATTAAAGAAAGACTTTTGGGAATAAATTCTGAGTTGAAGGAGGGGAAATGTCCCATGAACACTCCCTACATGTGTGTACCTGTGGGTTGCAGTGACAGATGGCAGCTAAAGCTGCCTGCAGCTTGCACTGAGCACAAGACTTCCTGCAAATGCCTCTCCAGGTTTTGTTGGCTTTATCTGTACCCCCAGACCCTCTGTGGCTGTCCTCATCTGAACTCACCACATCTAGGGAGCCCATCTTGCCCTTTGTGCTGCTTCTCTTGTTGGTGATTAGCCCTTTGTGTCTCTCTTGCCTCTCCCCCCCAGCCTCCCCTTGGCCAGTGGATCACTTGTCTCTTGTGTCCTTGTTCCCCTCAGATCATGGAGATGGCAGCTAAAGGGATAAAGCCAGTCACCCTGGAGCTGGGGGGCAAATCCCCCCTCATCATCTTCTCAGATGCTGACCTGGAGAATGCTGTGAAGGGAGCCCTCATGGCCAACTTCCTGACTCAGGGCGAGGTGTGTGTGTCTGTGGGGCGGGGTGGGGCCAGGTGTGACCTCCTGTAAGTGAGGGGTGCCCTGGGGCTCCCATCCTGCCACACCTTTCCCTGGGCAGTGTCACAAGGGATGCCCTGGAAGGAGCCAGGGTGTCCCAGCAGAGTGTGCCTTAGCACACTTAGCCAGTGTCCTGTCCTTCCCTGGCACCAAGCACCCAGCTCAGCACAGCTGCCCCTGTGCCCTGGGCACCAGTGTGGCACTCACAGCTCAGGAGAAGCTGTGCTGGTGTCCCGTGCAGGGGCAGCAGATTCCAGCCTGATGTGCTGAGCCTGAGGACAGGCTTCTGTCCTTCCCAAATTTGGGATATCCCCCTGTGCTGCAGGTTTTGTTTAATCCTGTTGGCAAATTTACTCAGCAGGGTTATTTCTAGGAATTCAGGAGTCAGCTCAAGGTCTTTGCTGCTGGTGACCTGATGCGTTTTTGCCACCTGGTGGCATCAGAACCACGTGTCCAGCAAGGACCGTTGAGTGCAGTCACAGCCCCAGGGTGATCTCCTTGTGTTCCTTGTCCCCAAAGGACAAGGAGCTTTTCCAAAAGCCTCTTCCAAGCAGGGAAGGACTGTGGAGTGCTGTGTTTCTTATTCTGAGCTGCCTGTCCTGTGTCCCAGGTGTGCTGCAATGGCACCAGGGTGTTTGTGGAGAGGAAGATCCTGGATACCTTCACAAAGGAGGTGGTGAAACGCACCCAGAAAATCAAAATTGGGGACCCTCTTCTGGAGGACACGCGGATGGGAGCCCTCATCAACCGGCCCCACCTGAATCGTGTGCAGGGCTTCATCAAGCAGGCAAAGGAGCAGGTGAGGTTGTGATGCTGCCCTGAAATGTCTCTCCTGTTGGACAGACACACTGCCAGCTGCCCTCCTGCCCTGTGCCTTCTCAGTTAAGCTGTGTTATTTGGTTGTTTTTGGTTTACTCAGTGGGTGTGTTGGACCACTAGATACAGAAGTCTGTGGGATCTGCTGGGATGCATCCCTGGGTCCTCAGAGAATTGGCTGATGTAGTTGCTGAGCTGTTTTCCATGATACTTGAGAAGTCATGGCAGTCAGGTGAAGTCCTAAGTGACTGGAGAAGGAAAAACACCCATTTTCTAAAAGGAGGGTGGACAAGAGCCTGGGAATTCCAGACCCATCAGCTTCACTGCTGTGACTGTGCAAAGATCATGGAACAGATCCTCCTGGAAGTTGTGTTAAGGCACATGGAGGACAGAGAGGTGATTTGAGCCCAGTACAGGGTGCTGCACCTGGGTCAAAGCAACCCCTGCTATCAATCCAGGCTGAGGGATGAGCAGATGGAGCAGGGAAGGATTTCCTGCAAGGAGGGACTGGTGGATGAGAGGCTGGACATGCCCCAGCCATGTGTGCTGTCACCCAGAAATGCCCAGTGCCCTGGGGTACATCCAAAGCAGTGTAGGCAGCAGATGAGGGGGAATTCTGCCCTTCTGACCTGCTCTGCTGAGACACCACTTCAAGCTCTGGAATCCTCAGTACAGGAAAAACACATGAAGAAAGGCTGAGAGCTGGGGTGGTTTAGCCTGGAGGGGAGAAAGCTCTGGGTACACCTGATTGCAGGATTTCAGTACATAACAGGCACTTAAAGAAAGATGGGGACAAATGTTTGAGCAGAGCCTGCTGGGATAGGCCAAGGGCCAGCCAGAGCTGGGCAGGATGCTCCTGGATGTGGCTGCATCCCTTCCTCTCTTGGCTCTTTTGCAGGGGGCAGAGGTGCTGTGTGGTGGGGACCTGTACGTGCCAGATGACCCGAAGCTGAAGAATGGCTACTACATGAGGCCCTGTGTGCTAGGTAGGCTCCATCTCAGCCATGGTACCATGGATGCTGTGGGATTTCTCCTGAGAAATGAGTTCAGCTTTGTAACCTGGCTCTGTGATGGCCCCAGCGTGGATGGACACTTGGATGGGGGTCCTAGAGACAGCTGAGGCTTCCAAGAACTGCATGCAGGGAAATCTGTGCTGTTGGTGCTTTTGGGGTGCAGGGTGTGCCTGGCTGCTCTGCCATGCTGGGGGCTGTCTCCAAGGCTGTGTGGGTTGCTGAGTGCACAGGCTGTGCTGCTGCTCTTCCTCCTGAAGCCCTTGTGCTCTGCCACGCTTCCAGGGAACTGCAAGGATGACATGACGTGTGTGAAGGAAGAGATCTTTGGGCCTGTCATGGCCATCCTGCCCTTTGACACGGAGGAGGAGGTTCTGGAGAGAGCCAACGCCACTAAATTTGGCCTGGCAGGTGGTGTCTTCACCAGGTATGACTGGGCAGTGTTTGGCATCGTTCTGGGGACTGAAATACTGCAGTGATTTGCTGCTTCTCTTGCAGTGCCTGGGCTTCCAGAAAAGCTGAGGCAAGGCATTGCCAAAAGGGAAATCTGTAAATGACTGCACATCTCCCTTTTTTTCCCCAACTGCTGGGTGGGCCCAGCTGTCCCTTGGGTTCCTCCCAGCCTGGCTTGGCCTGCTGCCTGCCTTCCTGCCCCTGCAGCATGCATCAGGAGCCTGCTGTGCTGCTGTTGGCTACTTGCCCCACTCTGTATTGCTGGTGTCCTTGTCCTGCCCTCTGGAATTGAATGCTCTTGGAGCATCCTTGGGAAGTGGTGCTGCTGCCTCCTTGGAGCAGGCAAAGGCAGAGCAGGGCAGGCTGGACTCCAAAAAGCCCTGCTGGCCTTTCTGCAGTGGGAGCTGCCTGGCAGGGAAGGAGGGGGTCCAGCTGAATTTGCTCTTTTCCTGCAGGGATATCCAGAAGGCTCACAGGGTAGTGGCTGCTCTCAAGGCTGGGATGTGCTTCATCAACAACTACAACGTCAGCCCAGTGGAGCTGCCTTTTGGGGGATACAAGTCCTCAGGTGAGCTCTGTGTGCCCTCCCCTGGTACCTGGCAGCTCCAGGGGCTGTGTGTGGCCACTGGCACTGCCTGGAGCTGTGTCCTCACTGCAGCTCTTCCCTGCAGGATTTGGCAGGGAGAACGGCCGGGCAGCCATCGAGTACTACTCGCAGCTGAAGACTGTCTGTGTGGAGATGGGGGATGTGGAGTCTGTGTTTTAGTGCCTCTGGGGCCTGTCAGGGCAGCATCAGGCAGCTCCTTGCTGCCAGCCACAGATGTGGATCATGTACACAGCAATAAAGTACCTACAGTTGTCAGTGCCCGGGGGGAAGCTGAGCTGGAGCAGAGTTTAACCACCCTGCTCCTGCAGGGGGGGTTGGACACTCGGGGCTCAGCTCTGCTGGACAGTGGGAAGCTCAGAGCAGGAGGCACCAATCTGGCTTTGGGCAGCAGCTCCTGCAGCCACAGAGGTGTTACCAGAGGCTTGGCAGTGGCCAGGTTTCCCAGGCTGTGTGCCTTGATTCCCATTGCCTTCCACCCTCCATCAGCTTCACTTCTGGCTTAGGACCCTACATCAATGCAGGTTTGAGCTCTTGGACACAATTATATCCTGTAGCTATCCTGACCCTGTCTATTCTGTAACCACATAAAAGCCTTAAATGCATCATTGTTTATTCCCTCTAGACCCTTGGTAACCTCAACTTTTGGTTTTTTCTATCTGTACCTTACTCACAAGTGGGACAAAACATTGTGGGGAGGGTTGGCTGATGCTGCCTGGGCCAGGCATGGCTTTGAGAATTACCTCCACACAAGAGTGGGGGTGAGCTCCAGCACGGAATAGTGAAAGCTATCTCACTTCCTTCCTGCAAACTTAATGTTCTTTATACACATGATGAAGCAACAACTTCAATTGTTTTCTTGTGTCTTTTTTTAGCAATCAAATAAATACTCACTCTGGAACAAATTCTCAGTGTGACATTAATTGAGGGGTCCAGAAATGGGGTTGTTGCTGTATGAGTTAAATGAGCTGCAAGGTGGCTTTTTGATCACTAAAATCATAAAAGCTAGAAGGAACATCTCTGCCTGACAGACAGATTTCTGTAGTCCCACAAAACCAGAATAGTTCTAGCATTCTGCAGAGCTTCTTAAGAAAACTCTCTGTAACTACAGAATGAAAATAAAGAATGGACAACTTCCTTTTATTGAGGAAGAAAAGGGAAAAAAACATAGGAAGCCAAGTGTTCTAAAAGAAAACAGAAAAGTCCCTTTAGCATCTGCAGACGAACTGGCAGCCCAGCTGCTCATAGACTGCATAGACAGCTGTGCCCACCAGCCCAAGGAGTGCCACGGAAGCAAAGGACCCTCTCCTTCGGTTTTTGGGTTCTGGAAAAAAGAAAAATCAGAATTTGTCAGTTCACTAAAAGACTAGCCCAGCCTGGAGAGTGAAGAGGGAGCAAAACTAAAGGGAAACCCCAAGAGCAAAACAGCTCAGGCCTCTTAGGGTAGGCACTCCTGCTGGACGAGAGCTCTTCCCAGGAGCAGGAAGAGCATGCTGCAGTGTTGGCAGCCTGTAGATCTGCACCCTTTCCTCCACACCTGGCTGGGAGCCAAGTCCTGAGGTCACTGTAGGAGCCCTGAGTGTCAACAGTGTGTGCTGCAGGGCACAGTCCTACCTCCCGTGTAGTAGCCATAGGCATAGATGATTCTCCCAAGGACCCAGGTCATGCCAAGCCCTGTGGCCACTCGCTGCAGAGAAAGGAGAAGCATTAAAAGGCTTTGGAGGCTTGAGCAAAGTTGTGCAGGCAACCAGGTGCTCAATCTCATTTTACCCCTGGCTTCTTAGCCAAAGCAAGGAGCAGGATGGTGGAGGCAGCTGCTGCTCCAAACTTCCACCTTGACTCTTCATTTAGAGCTCATTCCAATGTGGCTCCCATTCGCCAGATGTGTTTACACTGCTTCCTTCCCTCTTGGAAAAGGAGTCTGTCTGCAGGAAAGACCTAATTTGTCTTTTGATGGCAAAGACAGAGCTACTGGATTTGGCCTATCTCCTCCCAAGTTGTCTGCATCTCTCAGTTAAAAATAATCCAGGCTTTTGTTGACTTCCTTTGGCAGGGCTTGGAAAATCTGGCCTGAAGGATTCTTCCCACTCAGTGAGTGGAGGCTGCAAATGCTTTGCTTTGTCTAAAAAGGCACCTTTTTCTAACAGCTGAAAACAGCAGTAATGAGTTTATTACTTGTGATTCTCCTGCAGGAGACCTTCTACAACTACATTTTAAGAAGGGGCACTGCTGTTAAGTGTGATGTGGCTACTGAAGGGGCTGTCTTGGCCTCCTGCCCCCACCTTGCCCAGGTCAGGGAGCCAGAGCACGGTCCTGCATCACTTACCGGGTGGTAGATTCCACTAGTGCCTAAAAAGAACAGGAAGGCAGGGTAATCTTCCAATCTGAAAATAAAAGTGAGGGGAGGCTGTGTTTGTGCTCAGGCTGCTTACAAAGACAAAACTCCAAGAGGGCAGAAACTGCAAACATTCCCTGCCAAGGGCATTTTGGGCTCATCACGAGTCTCTGTGCTCAGTGCTGTGGCTGAGGAAAGAAGAGATCTGAGCACACAATTTTAGGGGCTTCCTCCCAGCCTGTGCCTCTCTCCCAGGACACCTACCCACCCTTTCCATTTTGTTCTCTGAGCCACTCTAAACATTCCCCAGGAGCTGTGCTTCCCAGCACCCCTCTGATGCGCTGCTGCAACCTGTCCACAGCAGCTGGGTGGACTTGGGCCTCTCCCCAGGGAGACCTGGGCAGCACAACAAATCAGAACCTTCTGGAAACAAGATTCCTCACATCTTAACATCTACCCATGGAAGCAAACTGGTGGGAACTGGGAAAGAGGAGACAACTTCACAGCACCATCCCAAGGTTTAATGCATAGGAAGGAGCCAGCACAGCCTTCCTGCTAAGCTCTGCAGGCTGAGCCTGGATCAAAGCAGAGGCAGCAGCACCTCTGGGGCCATGGGCCCTGTCCCCAGCCCTGTGTGTTCCCAGGCCCCTGCTCAGAGGGGTCACTCACGTGTTCTGGTGCGCACGCTGGATGCAGTTGAACATCTGCCCGTTTTCAGGGTCCGTGCTGTACATGGTTGGGTACTGCCAAAAAATAAACCAGCACCAAAGCATCAGCAAGGGAGGCCTGCAGCTCCTCTCCCCAGGAACCCAGAGCTGCCTGGGTGCTTGCAAGACCAGCCTGCAATGGCAGCTTAGAGCCTGTGCCTGCCCTGGGGCTCTGTTCAAGGTCACTGCCTTCCTGGAGCTGCTGTCTGGCTGCAGAGGCTTCCCCAGGCCTCAAATCCAGCCCTCTGTGCACCACACACACTGGCTACACGTGCTCCAATCCTGCCTTGATGCAGCAGGAATGGGATCACCCCAACAGGCAGCTGGAGCTGCCCTCCTGCTCACCCCTGCCTGTCACTTCCATGAGTGAAGTGGTGAAAGAGCAAAGGAGCAGTGGTTTGTGCTGAAGCCAAGTGGCACAGCAGCAACTGCATGCCATGGGCCTGACTCACAGCTGTCCCCACCCAGCCCACAGCTCTGCCTGCAACAACGGCTCCCCAACAGATGCTGAGGGAAGGTCACTTGAAAGACTTGTGACAGCGCCTACATGTTCCCCCTGAGTTTGAGAAAGCCTCCTGTCACTTTTGTGCCACTACAACCCCTTTCCCCCAGTGCTGCATCAAGTCTCATTTGCAGGGAAAAAGGGCTGAGCAGTTTCCTGCCCATCAGTGCTGCCAAGCTCTTACAGCCTGATGCCCCAAATCCCAAGCTGTGTTAAGCTTTCAGGAGAGCCATGGCAGCAAGTCACCCCAAACTGATGAAGGTGTCAGCAAGCTTGCCATGCCCCACAGAGCACTCACCTCCACACGGTACTTCTTGCGGGCATTGCTCACATTGAGGGCGAGGTGTGTGACCATGACAAAGCTGGCAGCCCCAGTCAGAATGACGTAGCCATACTCCTTGGAGAGAACAGCCATGGTGCTGCTGGCAGAGAAAGGGAGCCTGTGAATGCTTGGGGAAGTGGCAACACGTGAAATACATGCATGGAAGAGTTGCTGAGCTTGGACTCCAAGAGCTACCAGCACAGGGACTGGCTGAAGGAATTTGTACTTTTTGTAACTCTCTATACCTGCACAAACCAGGAGTTCTCTGCATAGTTCCTGTCAAGCAAGGCTTAAAATCACCCCAGAGCTAGGGGCCACCACATGAAGTCAGTTTATTTCCAGCCTGTTCCCTAAAGAGAGATGCTTCTTCATGCACTGGGAACCACACCTGTGGAACTCCTTGCCAAGGGACATTGTGAGTGCAGGCACTTCTCATAGATTCAACAGGAAACTGGGCGAGTCCTGGGAGTAAAAGGTAAGTTGGGAGTTACAAAAGAACCTGTCTCAGAAATCCCCTGAGCTGGAAGGAGCTGGGCTACATCAGTGATTAATTACATTTATATTGTATTTATATGAGATCATCCTCATATAAAATACTAATAAAACCCAGCACCTCAGCAACGATAACTGAACTTTTGGGTAGAGCCACTGGCCAGATGACTGATGCTCAGCCCTGCAGCTCCCAGGAAGCCTCTCAGAGTCATAAACTGGTGAACAGCTCCTGGCATTTACAGACATCTACACCAGCGGCCAGGGGACACCAGGGCCTGTGTGGCTTTTGTTTAATGGTTCTGTGCTCCCTCATGCAGGCCTGAGACAGAAGCATGGGGCAGAAGGTGCAGCCTGCAGCCTCTGCCATGGTGCCCCACATTCCACATTCTCACTCTTCCCTGCTCAGCAGCCCCCACAAGCCTGCCCTGCTTCACTCCAGCTCCCTCCCTGCTGCCACAGAGCACAAGGGCCCTTCCCCACAACCATCCTGCACAACCCCAAACCTCAGACTGGGTCACTCTGGAGAGTGCTGCATGACACAGCCCAGCAAAAGACAGCAGAGAGCATGGAGATAATTCTCCCAATCAAACCCCAGTTGGTGCCTCCACGATGTTTGTAATGAGGTTTTGGTGCCTCCCTGAACTGACCCACCAGCACAATCTGTCAGTGTAGGGAAAAACAGGCCACCTCAGGGAACTGCTGCAAAGTCTTCCTCTTGCACTCCTCACAAGGGATTTTTGGGGTTTTATTTCTCATTTGCAAAGGATTATCATTGATGGAGCAAGGTGAAGACAGCAGCTGGCTCTGTCCACGGCAAGTGAGGTAAACAATTATCAGTAAGAATATTAAAACCCTGAAGTAATGAAGAAAAGCCAACTGCATGCACCTGTAATTGAGGTTAGCACCTGACAGGTGACACACTGAAAATAGAACATGTAGAGCAGGATGGTGGTCACATTTCCCCCTTCAAATTACAAGGTTATTGGAGAACCGGGCATTTTGTCTTCCAGAAGGAAGTTATAATCTGGGGGTTTATCTTGGGAGCAAAGAGCACGGCACAGCATTAAACCGGGTGTGTCATAAAACTCCTACTCTTACACGACTGATATCAAAGTGTACCTCAAGCCTTTGCACTGGTAATTTAGTGCCATATAAATCACTCCAAAGTTACCAGGACTCCCACTTTCCTTTCCGGACTGTGGTGCCCGGAGCCTTTCAACAACTTTTGCCCGCAGCCGCAAGGCCTTCGCTGTCACGGTGCACAAAACTCAATTTCTCCCCTTTTACCCTGCGATGTTTCCATCGGGAGCCACAGACACGAGATTCGGGAGCGGGAGGAAAAGGGTCCTTCCCAACTCTGCCACAACACTGCAGCTGCTTTGAGTCAGCAAAGCGCCTTAAGGCTCCTCGAGCAGCCCCACGCGTGGATTCGGTCTGGATTAGCCCATTTAAGCTCAGCCCTTCGAGCCGGCAGAGCGACAAAAAGGGGCCGGGCCGAGCCCTGCCCGGCCTGCTCGTCCCGCACCCCCTTCCCCCGCAGCCTGCCCCGGCGGGGAGCTGTCCACGGCGTTTTCCATGAGGACAAGCTGCCCCTGGGCGCACCCGCTGCCCCCCGGCCCGCACTCACCCTCAGCGCGGCGCGGAGCGGCGGCGGGACGGAGCCGGGATGAGGAGGGAGCCGGGGCGGGGGCGGTGCCGGGCCCGTCCCCTCAGCAGCAGCGCCCGCAGGCGGGGCCCGCGCTCGGCCCGGCGCGATCGGCCTCGTGCTGCCGGGGCAGAGCGGGTGGGCGTTGCTGAGGGGTTTGCTGGAGCCTCGGCCTTCCCCCCGTAGCCTTGCTGCCATTTTACCCATTCGCAGTTTACAGTTTAATGGCTCAGGGTTTGGTAATTCACCCCGTGCTTGCTGAAATCTCCTGGTTTCCCCTGTTAGCTCAGCAGACCCTGCAGAGTGTTTCACACATGGAGTTGCTGTGCTGGATCACTGTGAAAAATGCGTATTTTATGATTGGCTTTCAACAATATTCAAATGAATATTATATGTGTTATGTTAGAAATTGATGCTGTATTAATTTTCTTAAGTAGAGTGTGAAATATAGCTATAGGTTATAACAAAATGTTAACATAGAAACTATGCTATGTAAGATTTTTTTTTTTAAAGAAAGGACTCACACTGAGATAGCAGCCACAGGACACCTGAATCTTTCAGAGAAAGAGAACTTATTGCTCCATTATCAGAAGAAATGAACTTCTTCCCACCTCGCTCAGCCCTGAAGACGCTATTAGGATTAAGAGGCAGAAGTTGACCAGACAGAATCTTGTGTTTGAATGGAATTTATGCATCATGTATGAGGTGTATGAATATGCAACAGGTTATTGTTTTTAAGGGTTAATCCTCTGTTAATGTGGGTCCTTTTTCAGGCTTATTTTGCCCAGAAAGAGGTACCTGGACCATCCGTAACTCTTTGTTTCTATTGTCTCATATTATCCTAATCCAAATTGTCCAAATTATTATTACTCTAATTAAATTACTATTTTTATAACCATTTTATTACTAATAAATTTTAAAAATTTAAAAACAAGTGATTGACATTTTTCACAGTCATGTAACCAGATACTTCCCTTGGCAATTCCCAACATTGGTGGTAACAAGGATCTTACATCTCCTTGTGGATGTAACTCTGACACTTTGGTATGGACACACAACCCATTTCCAAGAACATTTGGAGAGCGTGTAAGCAATATTTTTACTTTATAAAACATTCCAGTTTTAGAGTTGTGTGACACAAAAGCAGAGCTGGACTTTCCAGTTCATACAACAGTGGAGGCACAGGCGGTCTGGCTGCACTGCAGGAGCACAGAGGGTTCTTTTGCTGTCACCAGTGTAATGGGAAAGAAAGGAAAAAGCAGTGGGATCCTGGGCTCCTAAAAGTGCTGATTTTAATCTCTTTGCCTTTCCAAAGCAGGAAGTTCTTGGATTCTCTGGGGCTCTAGCAATCCAGTAATTCCCTGGGGCCCCAGCTGTGTAGGCTGATCCCTGTAAGCCCTGCTGGGTTTTTTGGCCAGGAAGGACCTGGTGACCTCCTTGGCTACAGCAGAGTGCCAGGACCTTTCCTGTATTTCAGTGCCTTTTCAAGCCAGTCCTTATGTCCCTACTGTTCTCAAGGTAGGGTGGAAGTGGAAATGCCTGGCACCGTGCACACCTCTCACACCTGCCCAAAATGAACATTTTGCCAATATTCTGAGTCCCAGTGGCAGAAGACCGGGTAAAGAACAGCAAGGGAAACTGGAGAACAGCAAGTGAAACTGGAGCACAGATACTTCCTTCTTTGCAGTTTTATTTCACTTCCCAAAAAAAAGAAAAAAAAATAAAAAAAAATCCAGGGTGGGACAACATGAGAAATCAGGCAGGAAGGTCCTGCCTTTGGTTCCCACAATGGGAGTTCAGGAGGACTGATTCTAAGTGGCTGTGTCTTCCTCCTCCTCCTCCTCCTCCTCCTCCTCCTCTTCCTCTCCCTTTGAGGCATGGGCCTCGTAGATGACAACACAGACCCCAGCCAGCCAGGCTGCCATGGTGCCAGCAAGGAAGATGCAGAAGCCAACGAGGCCCAGAAAGACATAATCCTGCTTGTGCAGCTGGGTCAGGCAGCTGAAGTGGAGCTGTGCCTCTGCTGCTGGCATCCTCAGGGCACGCAGCCCTGCTGGGGTGTGGCAGGTGATGTTGTCAGCATCTGCAGAGAGATGAGCAGAAGAAGGACTCTCTAGCCTGTATCATCATTTAATGAATAGGAGTGCTGGTAGAAAAATTATGGGAGGCTTGCTAAAAGCCTGAAAAATAGCTGCAGACTTCATGCCCTCCCCCCATGGCTTGGGTAAAATCTGACAGCCAAACTCATGCCAAACCTGTGCTAAACCCTTGCCAAACCACAATTCCCAGGTTTCAGAATATTTTTTGCTTTGTTGGCTCCATAGGATAATATTGCCCACTGGATTATGCCACTGTGGCAAACTGCTGTCCCTGCCCTCCTCATCTCTGCTGACTGAGCACTTTCATCTTCACATAAGAGCACCTGTGTTTGCTGGTTTTTTTTTTAAATCTCAAACACCTTTACAGCCTAAATGATGCTGGAATAATGAGGCTGCTCTGGGTTTGACAAGGTTTGCAGTCATGCACAGCCTTACCTGCTCTGTGAGGCAACTCATCAATGATTCAGTTCCACTGAAATAACAACCATTCCCTGTCATATTGCAATATCTGCAGTGATAAAGCAGATGCTGCCTGCTCCCTTTCAAGTTAGCGAAGGATCAGTGTGGTGCAGGGTGTGCCCCCAGCCATCCTCTGCAGGTTTTGAGCCCCACAGACATGGTCACTGTGGTGGGGACATCCTGGATGGACAGAATGGAAGAGCCTGAGGGAAAGGGAGCACTGCTCCACGCATGGGATGCAATGGGAGTGGTGGAGGGGGATTTTTATTGCATTACACTGTATTGTATATGGCTGAGTGATGTTGTTCGTGCTGTTCTTGATACTGGCCCTGAGTAAAACTGAAGAGCTTTTATCTCTCTGTCACCCAAGTGCAGCCAAACTTGGGCAGCTTTGTGTCAAAACTCTGATGCACAAACATTTCTGAAGGTCAGGAGCGTTGCTAAAGGCCAGGCTGGGGTCTGCTTGCAGCAGATTCCAGAGCTCTGTCCCAGTATCCCTTTGGCCTGGAACAACTCTCAGTTTAAGGCTGCCTTTCCTACTCCTCCCCTTCCCAGCAGCCTGCAATGAGCTTTATTCTCCTGTTGCAGGGTTCAGTGGGTTATCTCCAATCTCACTGCTGAGAGCTGTACTTTATTCCACTGTCCCATAATTGTCTGTATGTGGAAAAAGAAACCCTTTATTGTCTATAAGGAGCTTACTACATCTAATAAAGACCTTGAGACGTCTTTAATTCAGTTCTGTCCTAACACCAGCTTCCAGCTGCCCTTCCCTCTTTTCCCCTTGGGCTCTTTTGTAGCCCTCTCTTATTCAGTGGACAGACTTTCTCAACCAATTCTCTCTTGCAGCTCTCTCTCACCATTGTACCCTGCATTACTGAAACCAAAGATTTTCTTTTTCATGTGTGCTGTGCTGCGTCTCTTTCCAGTCTGGAAAAGCTAAGTCCATGTGCTGCAGCTGCAAAGCAAAATATCACCCTTGGGACCAGTGTTTTTATGGCAAAGGGAACTGGTGATTGCCCTGCCTCAGCCTCTCCAAGGCCCAGTTATAGAATCTCTCAATATGAGCTGACTTTGGGGTGGAGACAAGGCAGGAAATTCACAGCAATGATTTTCCCAGTGCACATCTCCCTAGAGCTGTGGGAGGCTCCTCATTCTTGATGCTGTAGCCATGGGGTGCTGTGCAGGCACAGGGACACCTGAGGCTGGATCCAGGTGTTTTAGGGAAGCAGCGTTGTCCCAGCTGCACACTACACCTTTGAGGTGTGAACAAGGGGGATTTTTCACGTGTGTAACCCAGCTGCTCCCATCCCTGGTTTGTGTGACAGCAGAAAATGGCATGCAGTGAACTGAACTTCTGGGAAGGAGGACAGAGGGCTCTCTCTGTTCCACACACATCTGTGTTCACACAACCCTCACCTGGAAAATGCACATCGCTCTCCATCATCCAGGTGATGAAGTCCAAAAAGGAACAGTTGCAGTGCCACAGGTTGTCACTGAGCCCCAGGAGCCTCAGGTTGGGCAGGTCCCGGACGGTGCTGGTGTCCAGGAAGGTCAAGCCAGTCCGGCTCACATCCAGGTGCCTCAGCCAGGTGTTGTTGGCAAAAGCATCTTTCTCGATGGCCACAAGGTTGGGATTGTCTGAGATCTTCAGTACCACCAGGCTGAGGAGGTGAGAGAAGGTGCTGAATGTGACCTGGGAGAGGTTGTTGAAGCTGAGGTCCAGATAGACAAGCCTGGCCACGCCAATGAAAGTAAAATCCAAGTCATCCCCCAAGAAGTTCTTTCTGCAGTCCAGATAGACCAAATCAGCCAGGAAGCTCAATTCCACCGGCGGCAGGTACGAGACGTTGTTTGCTGCCAGAATCAGCTGCCTGGTGTCCAGAGGGATGTCCACAGGGAACTCCTGCAGCTGCTGCCCGGTGCAGTTCACCTCCAGGTACTGACAGCTACACCTGCTCGGACAGCTGATCCCCTGGGATGCCATCCCCAGAAGAAACACGAGGCTCAGGGACCGTGGGCTACCTGAAGGAAACATGGTTTGAGACCTTTCAGGCTGCTTAGCCTTTCATGGAGTGCAGGCAGCCCTATGGCAGCTGCAGTGCCCTCCCAGCCACGCCGAGGAGGTGCCCAGCTGCAAGGCTGTCAGGAAGCACTCTGTGGCTCACCTGAGCCCTTGGCAGAGTGCCCAGTTGGAAACCGAGCCTGGCTTTTACATGGGCAAGTGCGGAACGGTGGCTGGAGCGTCTCTGTCTCACACTCGGCGCCAGGTGACACCTCCGTGATGTCAGTGGCTTGCAGGAGCTGCCTGCTTTAGGGGACACTGCTGTGACCTTGCTGGCCTGCTTCCAGCTCGGTGGAGGTGTGGGAAGCTGTGCATGTTGTGGGAGCATCGGAACTTTGTGGGGAGAATGTGAACAGCCCAAATTTTGTCAGAAATGATGTTGTGAAAAATGCATATTTTATCATTGGCTTTTCACAAATATTCAAATATTATATGTGCTATGTTAGAAAGTTATGCTGTATTAATTTTCTTAAGTAGTGTGGTAGATATAGTTTCAGGTTATAATATAAGGTTAAAATAGAAACTATGCTATGTAAGGTATTTTTTTTCTAAAGAAAGGGCTTGTAGCGAGATAGCGACCACAGGACACCTAAATCTTTCAGAGAAAGAGAATTTATTGCTCCATTATCAGAAATTAACTTCTTCCTGCCTTGCTCAGCCCTGGAGACACCATCAGGATTAAGAGGAAGAAGCTGACACTGACCAGACAGAATCCTCCTGTGTTTGAATGGAATTTCTGCATCATGTATGAGGTGTATGAATATGCAACAGGCTGTTGCATTTAAGGGTTAATCCTCTGTTAATGTGGGTCATTTTTTGGGGCTTATTTTGCCCAGAAAAAGGTTCCTGGATGTCCGTAACTCTTTATTGCCTCATATTGTCCCAATCCAAATTGTCCAAATTATTATTACTCTAATTATATTACTATTTTCATAACCGTTTTACTACTAGTAAACTTTTAAAATTTTAAAAACAAGTGATTGGCGTTTTTCACAGTGTCACACTGCAAGGGGTAGTACTGGTTAGGCAAGAGGCCTGTGCAATGTTGGGCTGGCGTCCCATCCACATGGAATAAAACCTCCTTCCAGGAGCCAGGAGGTTTTATCTCACGTGGAGTAGCGTGTCCAGGTCTGGGAATCTCAGCACAAGATGTGGAGGTGTTGGAGAAGGTCCAGGCAGGCCATGAAGATGCTCAGAGGGCTGGAGTAACTCTGGTATGGGGACAGGCTGAGCTGGGGCTGTGCAGCCTGGAGAGGATTATGGTGAGACCTCATCCAAAGGGTTTTTGGAAAGGAGGAAGAGTGGCTCATTACACGGGCAGGTAAGAAAGAACAAGGGGAATGGCTTTAGACTGAAAGAGGGCAGGTTTGGAGTGGATGTTAGGGAGAAATTCTCCCCTGGGAAAGTGATGAGACACAGGGTGCACAGAGACGCTGTGGCTGCCCCATCCCTGGAAGTGTCCAAGGCCAGGTTGGACAGGGCTTGGAGCAACCTGGGATAGTGGAAGCTGTCCCTGCTCATATCAGACGGAAAACGAGGTGAACTTTAACGCTCCTTCCAGGGATTTTATGACTCTTGCAGAGGCCGTGCCAGCCCCGCCTGACAGCCCCTCAGGGATAGC